TCTTCTCATGTCTTCTCCCACCCCCCCGTGTGGCTCAGATTTCCCCAACCCATTCAGCTCCGGCTCCGCGCCCCAGCAACCCATGGCCCTCTCCCCCAGTAACCCCTTCAGCAACGCCTTGGGAGGTGAGACTCATGTTCACAGTCCTGCAGACATTCTGCAACGTATTCAGAGGCTAGACTTCTAAATGTGTTATGCTGTCATTTTCTGGGGAGGATGATGATGCAGATGATGAGCTTATCATCCTGATGTGTGGATTTGTATTTACAGAAGGGATTTTGTGTTTCCTAGATGGGGAGTGACATAATCCAGATTCTATATACAGAAAGTGTTTTTATTCTAGTGAATAGAGGTTTCTGTCCAGATCCTACAGTAAGATTTAGTTTTTTATCAACTCATTGGAGGTTAAAGGAAAAAGATGAAGAGTTAGGAGAATGTATCACTGCTTTATGTAGCCTGTCGCCTCCTCTGTGTCTGATCCCGCTGTGTGGTTGGATCTTTCCTCCAGGTGACTCCAGCGCGTTCGTCACCTCGCCCACCTCCGTTTTCAGTCCGTCCACCTCCTTCCCAGCACCTGCCACCCAGAATGCATTTCCTCATGAGTCTGCCAGCAACCAGGAAGCCAACGGTAAGTTATGTTCCCTTATCATTTGAATCTTCCATAGTCTGATGTTTTGTGTGGGTGTTGCTTTGAAACGTAGCTTCTGTTGACTTCACGAAAGTCTGTTGGTTTTGAACTGTAAAGTAGAAAACTGATGGCCATTGTTCACAGATTAAACCTTTTAAATGATAATTGAAAGAAAAATAAACCTAAATCACACAACTGTTACTGTAGCTCAGTCTAATGTACCTGAACATAGCACAGAGGTCTTAACTGGTTAATAAGATGCTACACTATAATTATTATATTCATAATTTAGCTTTGCACTATTCCATGGCTCATTATGCTACAACACCATAACCTGTTTTAAAAAATAAAGAATTAAAAGGACAATAAATAGAATAAAATAGATTTCACAAAGGCTAGCGACAATATGTTGGGGTAGATGACAGCCTCACATGCTCTTATAAAAACCTGAACACATACCGTGGCATTGACTCTACGTGCACTGAGTGCAGATCAAACACTGAGAAGCTGTGAGGCGCCAGAACACACATATTTCACCAGTGACCAGCAGCAGCAGGATTTTTTTGAATCTCAGTTCACACACCCCAGTACAGAGCTGCTGCTGCTGTTTCTGGTTTCAGCTCTGCCTTCACACCACAGAACATATTCTCTGCCCGTCATGCTGTGTGTGTGTGTGTGTGTGTGTGTGTGTGTGTTGCAGGTTTTGCCTCCTTCCCTGCATCCGAATCTCAGCCCAAAGTCTCTTGGCCAATGTCGGTGAACCCGTTTACTGTGAGTACTGCTTCACAGCCCGGCAAACAAGTGGCACCAATTGCACTTCAGGGGGGATGAAAGGTGGGGGGAGGAGGTGGTGGGAGGGCTAATTGGTATTTTTTGCAAGTTCTCTTTTTCTGCACAGTGTATTAAAGGTCTCTCTGCTCTTTCTCACTCGGCCTCATTTGTCTTCCAGGGGAATGTTTACCCCAGTCGAGGGACATCCAAAAATCCTTTCATCTGACTCCCTCCGTCCTCCTCACTTCACCCACCCATTCATCTCTGGGAGCCGTGGAACTTGAGGAGTCGCTGGCATTTCAATGCCTCTGAAGTATTTTCACCCTCTGAGGGAGGGTTTGACATCCGTGCCCCTCCTCTCCTCCCCGTTCTGTGTTTATGTGTTTGTGGAGGAAAAAAAAAAGGCGTGAATGTAATTATGAAATTTATGTATGTACGAGAGTGTCGGCCTGCTGTGTTTGTACCACGTGACGTATATCTGAAGGTGTTTGTGTGCCAGTAGACGCCACCTCAGGGCTCTGTGAGAGTCACGAGTAAACGACGCCGCTGTGATTTTTGCAGAGACACACACTTGCACATACATATATGACACACACATCGCTGCTGCTGCTACTTTGCTTTCATCTCCTGCATAAAAGTGCAAAAAAGAGCCAGTCCACTGGTAAATACATTGTTGTCTTATGCTTTAAAAAGTCTCTGTTGTCCAAAGGAAAAGCCAGTTGAAGCTCCGACCGTGCATCACGAGTTTCCACAGATGGTTTTAACCGCCTTAACAGCCCCCTGATGCATCAGCATCAAAAGATAAGCTGGGCTTCTCATTGTAGTGGGTGCGTGGGAGATGTTTGTATTCATCTTTTTTTGGCACATATCCTTTCAAGAATCATCTGTTTTCTACTCTCAGGCTGCATGTGCTTAGAGGGCTAAAAGGAGATGCTACTGAATGTAAAAGCAATTTCAGAATAACTTGCGTAAGTGTCTATAAAAACTTCATCACTTCATGTATCGGACCAAAATGTTTTCTTGCTGATTTTTGGTTTACATGGAGGCAAAGTTTATGTCCCTTATTTTGCCAAAAAATTTAAAGAAGAGAGATTCATGTAACAGCATATTTGTAATGACAAGTATTCATGTTCATAAAATCGGTTTGTTGCTTTGTCTCTGGCTGTTGTCATGTGAAACCCC